TAATTTAAAACAAACCAAAAAACCCCCACATCTGATCCAGACAGGCAGTGTGCGGCCCAATGTGCCTAAGAAAAAATTTGGGGGCCCCTTCCATCATATAAGTTGCCCATCCCTGGGATAGTAGACATCCATATATTAAAAGTAAAACATAAATAAATGCAAGTAAACCGTTAATTGCTCTGACTGAACTACTACTAGGGGAACATTGTGAAGTATGTGTTGGCATGTGTGCCTCGCATTCAAGAGGTTCTGGGTTTGTGCCAGGTTCATCAATTTGACACTTAGACATAAAACACAAGGAGGAGACAGGAAATTCAATTCTGGTACCAGGGGGGAACGAGGAGAAGCGTTGGTTTCAGTTCTCTGCACATCACCCAAAGTTCTCCCCGCTCGCCCTCTCATTTATTGGGAATCTAATACATGGGTGTGTCCAACCTAAAGGATGAGGGCTGTTGAAGACACACTGAACTTGTTTGACTATGTGTGTGTATGTGAGTGAAAATTACGTACATGTGTGCAATCATTCCAAAAACACCAAGTTGCAGCTGGTGTTGACAGTTCCGTCCACGTCCGACCTTGCTCCTGTTTAGTCTTAATACTTATCTCTTCCCAACCACTTCCTTGGAAAGGTGGTTGCGTCCCTAAACTGCCACGCAGTGCACTAAGCATTCTTGATTATAAATGTGAGTATATAATGATTAAAAGCATTATATCTTTATTAAAAGCATAAGCGTTCTTCATTGCAGGCATAAGCGTTCTTCATTGCAAGCGTAATCAATTTATCATTAATAATATGTCAATGTATGATTACCAAAAACAATCAACCTAACAGTTTGAATCTTAACTCTGGCCTTTATTTTCTCCCCGCATCTTCTCGCAATGCTTGCATGAGTTTTCTACAAGTGCTTCCCACGGTTAAAAAAAAAAATTCATGTGAAGTTGAGAAAATACAATCTTGCAAAAAGGAGTACACCCCTTCCATGTTTGTCAATAGTTTACATTTTGTAAACTTGACATGCTGCCACAATGTACAATGCGGTAAACAGTCAATAGCGTACATTTACGGTTCTCTCAAAATAACTGAATACACAGCCATTATTGTCGCAACTGCAGGCAATAAAAGGGAATACACACCACACACGTGAAAAGGTCCAAATTGGGGGCCATTTAGCCGTTTTCCAGGCGTCATGTGACTCCTCAGTGTTGTTAGGTCTCATGTGTAAATGGAATGTGTGTTAAATTTGGTGTCATTGCTCTCAACCTCTCATACCGGTGACTGAAAGTTCAATATGGTTGATCATGGCTAAGAATTCTGAGGATCCATCCGTTATCTGATGCACTTTATCCTCACAAGGGTGGCATGGGGCGCTCGCTCAAGGCAACCCGGGCGCTGGACAGCGATCCGCGGGCCGGAAGAGCCATCTGCCCGAACACCGGCAATACTTGATTGGTTCTTATTGTAGCCTGTAGAATGTTTGCCCCTTTTTTGTTTTGTTCCCTCTTGTGGCACCCCGTAAACAATGTCTGCCATTGACAATGCTTGGCCCCTCCATCCTACCATCCATCCATCCATCCATTTTCTAATCCGCTTATCCTCACAAGGGACGCGGGACATGCTGGAGCCTATCCCAGCCGTCTTCGGGCAGTAGGCGGGGTACACCCTGAACTGGTTGCCAGCCAATCTCAGGGCATACATAGGCGGACAACCATTCGCACTCAGAATCACACCTCGGGAATGTGGGAGGAAACCGGACTTCCCGGACAAACCCCACACAGGCACGAGGAGAACATGCAAACTCCAGAAAGGAAGGCTGAGGCCGAAATCCAACCTCTGACCTATGCACTGTGAGGCGGACTTGCAAGCCAGTCGCCCACCATGCCACCTCAACTCTGAGGATCTGGGAGAAAAATAATGCTTTTTTTTTATATAGTTGCCAAGGCGACAAAAAGATTACAAACACCCTGAAACTGAACTGCAGTCACAAAAGAGAGATTTAACAGGACAGGATCCGCTCAGAACAGAAACTGCATGTTGTGAGAACCATATCAAGATCGTTCGAAAATAGACATTTGAGTACTGCCAGCATTGCCTCTCAGTACTCAAACCATACATCACACACACTGCATCAAATTGGTCCGCATGGCTGTTCTCCCAGAAGGAAGCCTCTTCAAAAGCGAATTTACACCGAAGCTCACAGGCGGTTTCCAAGTGACAAACCGTGCAGCTTGTGAGAACTCCATGGCCAAGAAGGCGAAAGCAATGTTGGAAAAGAATCATGCCCCCATAAAATATCGACACTTTGGGCACAATTTGGACATTTTATCCTCAGGGGTGTACTCCTCAAATTGCTTGCCAGCAGTGAAGGCGTAAAGGGCTGTGTTGGGTTATTTTGAGGGGACAGTAAATGTGCAATTATACACACGCTCTCTGGACTGACTCCTTTACATCGGAGCAAAGTGCTACTTTTTTGTTGTTCTTTTGTCCCATGAACAGGTAGACAACATTAGTGTGTCTGTTTGCGTGTTATAAATATGATCGATTTTTGTGTTAGTGCACATTGCACACTTAGCATCCTGTCAGTCTCACTTTCACAAAAAGTATTTTCAAAATAGAAACGAATGAAAAAGCAGGTCACCTTTAACCGACGGTGGCGTATGACCTGCATCATCGGAAGTTGTTCGCGGTCAAAAGTCTGCAATTGCCGCTTGCGATCAGAGCTGTGGCGCGATATCTTTTATTGTTCTTATCATTCATTCTCTTTTATATTTGTTTCATGTACAATTCACCGAGAGTACTGGCAAACAATGAGAATCTGGAGTGCCGGGAGAAGTATTTGAAAACGGTACAAATGAGCCACGATCATTAACATGCTGCAAAAGTGCGTCCCATGCCTCCGCATCAGGTCTCTGCTAAGGTAGGCGGTGATTTCTTTTTCGCAAACCCACAAACTCTTGTGTCTAACTTTATTTTTCTTTTTCATTCATCTTATCGGCCATTATGGCGATTGCTCATCGGGGCATGCGTGTGTAAGTGCGTGCGTATCATGCGCGGCAACGGGTCGATCGCGAGAGGTTGGTTGATTGAAAATTAGATCTTCGACCAAAAATGTTTGGGCACCCTTGTTGTTGATACTATTCGAAAAGATAAGAATGGTTTTGACAGGTGTTGCCAAAGAGATAACCGCAGGCAATTTCTTTCCATTTGGCACAACGCAATCCTTCCGTGGCCATCACCTCTAACCTTTCACTGTTTACACAGATGTATCATTACCCAATGCTTATCCTGAGTCTGCAGTAGCCTATCCCCAAGCAGTCTCACGATGGCGACCGACAAACTCGGACTGAACCTGAAGAGGGATGTTGGGATTATTGGAGCGGTATCTTTCATTGCTGGCACCATGATGGGGTCAGGGATCTTCATATCACCCCAATATGTGCTCTCCACGATCGGCAGTCCGGGGGCAAGCCTCATTATATGGGCAGCATGTGGACTGCTAGCCATGCTGGGGGGGCTCTGCTATGCTGAACTGGGAACCGTCATTCCAGAGTCTGGCGGAGAATATATCTACATGATGAGGACGGCGGGGCGAGTGGTGGCCTTCATGTTTGTCTTCAGCTTTATCATTGTCATGAGACCTGCAAGTGCCACGGGAATCGCGCTCAGCTTCGCCGAATATGCGGTGGCGCCTTTTTTCCCGAGCTGCTCCCCTCCACTGCTGCTGGTAAAGTGTGTGGCTGCAGGAGCCATCGTCGTTCTGGCAATGGTGAACTGTCTGAGCTCCCGCCTGGCCACCATCATCCAGGTGGTCTCCATGGTCGTCAAAGTGCTGGCACTCACAGTGATCATATTGGGAGGAGTGGTGATGCTCTTTGAAAAAGGCACCGGGAACTTTGAGAACGCCTTTGAGGGAACCAATATGCACGTCAGGTCCTTTGGCATTGCTTTCTATCAGGGCTTGTGGTCCTACGATGGCTGGAATACTTTGAATTATTTAACCGAGGAGCTCAAGCATCCAGAAGTAAGACTTTTATGCGGTGACTTTTTTTCTTTACTGATAAGCCCAAAATGATTTACACACCAGCTATTTTTTTTATTTATGTGTTTATTCATGTATTTATTGATTTGTAAAAGTCGTTCGGAATGAATTTGCACCCCCCCCCAAAAAAAAAAAACAGTAAAATGTTTGGTTTTATGAGCTACAAAACACCGAGGGATGGACATGGAGTCAAGAGCTTTGTAATGTTTTAGTACGGTACGAAAAATGAAGGAGTCCCATACAGAAATTCATCTCACCCTTGGGTAACATTGGCTTCTCAAAAATTGCACTCATGTTCCTGGGTCAATTTGACCGGTCATGCAAAAAGTGTCAGAAAAAGGAATACTAGTTTGAAAAGCATGTACCTCAGCAAATGACATGACTACTGCATGTATAAAGCGAGAAATTTTACAATGGGCCATTAAACACAGGGGTTAAAACAGACAGATAACCAGATAACCCAGATTAACCTCAACAGTGGGTAAAATGGCTTCTTTTCAACACAGATTTTTTATTTTTTATTTTTTTTTGGTGGGGGGGGGCAATTTCAAAGGAGTTCTGTAAGAGTGAGCAACTTAGCCCGCACAGACAGGTCGGTCCTTCTGCATTAGCGTCTCTGGGGAGTACCATGTTATTTATTTAAAGGTCTCGTTTTGGTAATAGGTGGACCGGTGGACCAGTGGTAAGCACATCTGCCTCACAATGCGGAGGTGCAGGGTTCGATTCTGGCTTCGGCCTTCCTGTGTGGAGTTTGCATGTTCTCCCCGTGCCTGCGTGGGTTTTCTCCGGGAGCTCTGGTTTCCTCCCACATTCCAAAAACATGCATTGCAGGTTAATGGAACACTCTAAATTGTCCCTCAGTGTAAGTGTGAGCGTGAATGGTTGCTAGTCTGTGTGTGCCCTGCGATTGGCTGGCAACCGTTTCAGCGTGTCCCCCGCCTACTGCCCGAAGCCGACTGGGATAGGCTGCAGCACGTCCCGCCACCCTTGTGAGGATAAGCGGATTAGAAAATGAATGGATGGACGGTTGGATGGATGGGCCACGCATTGACAATGGTCGACATTTTTGTTTACCCGGTGCCACAACACGAGAGAACAAAAGAAGGGGCAAGCATTCTACAGGCTACAATAAGAACCAATCAAGCAGTGACGGTGTTCGGGCGGATGGCTCTTCCGGCCCGCGGGTCGCTCTCCAGCGCCGGAGTTGCCTTGAGTGAGCGCCCCGTGCCACCCGTTCAACAGCGAAGCCGAGACGCCCCACATTGGCATCCCCTCCGCCCCTCCACGCGGCGATGGAGCTTGGGTGCCCCTCAAGTCAGGTGCAACGGTTATTGATGTGTTATCAGTCACTGAAGTCCATAAAGATTAGGGAACATCATGTCTGTGGTTTGAGTTGTTAGTATTATTGCTGCTAGGTGATGCCACGTTTCTTTCACAGTAGTTTCAAAAATATTTTGCTGTCTTTACTCACATCCACAGTGTGGTGTGTTCACATGGCGTTTGCATCCCAGAGACCATATGACCTCCTGTATGCAGTGACAGTGTCTTATTCTTGATAACCTTTGGCTAACTATCTACTTTCTATGCCCTACTCACTTAATTATTAACTTGTGGGCTGCTGTTAGTAGGACCTTGGCCACAAAAATGTTTTTCCAATTCGAAGAAAGGCGCAAGACGGCAGCCATCATCATGGAAGATGAGACGCAAAAGCTCAGCCTCAAGCGTGAAGTGGGCCTGATGGGAGCTGTGTCCCTCATTGGCGGGACAATGATTGGCTCAGGGATCTTCATGTCACCACAGACTGTGCTCGCCACCATCGGCAGCCCCGGAGCCAGTCTGGTGGTGTGGGCAAGCTGCGGTCTACTGGTCATACTTGCTTCTTTTTGCTATGCTGAAATGGGAACCGTCATCCGGGAATCAGGCGGAGAGTACATCTACATCCTCAGGACGTCAGGCCCAGTCGTCGCCTTTATGTTAATCTTCAGCTCGGTGTTATTTGCGAGACCCGCCGGTGTGGTTGGCATCTCACTTAGTTTCGCTCAGTACGTTGTGGCGCCCTTCTATTCGGAATGTGCCCCTCCAGTTTTGCTCGTCAAGTGTGTGGCCGCAGCTGCGATTATTATTTTAGCGACAGTCAATTGTCTTAACGTTCGCTTCTCAATGTCAGTGCAGGTATTTTTTATGGTGGTCAAGGTCCTGTCGCTGGCAGTTATCATCGTGGGAGGTGTTGTGATGCTCATCAGAGGACATACTGAAAACTTTCAAGACTCCTTTGAAAACTCAAATATCGGCATCAGTCCAATTGGAATTGCTTTCTACCAGGGCTTGTGGTCATATGACGGTTGGAATAATCTCAACTATGTGACAGAGGAATTAAAACGTCCAGAGGTACAGTAAGTCACTCAATCTTTTCATTTGACATACAGAACAGTAGCCGATGTAAAGACAGCCTTAATGTTGTCTTTTACCCGTCACCAAACAAATGTTTTCATCATTGGAGCAAAAGCCTTATTTTCTTCAAACCAAAAAGCCAGTTGAAAAAGATGTCCAATTGTAAAGTTTATATCCAGAGGGCTTTGCATCTTGTTTGGGCTAGGTCAAGGATGGGCAACTGGTGGCCCACAGGCTGCATGCAGCCTCTGCCCATGTTCACAGTGCCCACCACTAGATGGCAGACATCACTTAAGAATGCCTCTCACCCCAAGACTGTAGTCCTTCTCCACAGAAAAAGAGAGCACGGGTCTGGCATGGAGCCAGGAGCAAATTAGGTCAAGAAAATGTGTTTTTAGGTCAAAATGAAGCCGAGGGTCACGGTGTGGCTGGAGCTCTCCCAATAGGCAGAGTGCACCCTGAACTGGTTTGCAGCCAATCACAGAGCACACATTGACAAACAACCATTCACCTAACAATCATACTGAGGGAAAATTTAGAGTGTTCCATTAACCTGCAATGAATGCATGTTTTTGGAATGTGGGAGGAAACTGCAGTACCCGGATAAAACCCACGCAGGCACGGGGAGAACATGCAAACTCCACACAGGAAGGCCAGGGTCTGGAATCAAATCTTGCACCTCTGCAATGTGACGCAGACGTCCTCACCAGTCGACCACCGTGCCGCCGACATTTCAAATCTTACTGCCGAAATCATGCTGATAAGTGATCACATCGTGTTCACGGGAGATTTTAATATTCATGTATGCTGTCCTGAAAAAATGTTGGCAAAGGACTTTTAAAGGCTTTTTGACTCATTTAATTTAGTGCAGTGAGTGTCTGGCCCCACTCACAAACAACGAGATACTTTAAATCAGGGATCACCAGCTGCGGTTCTCGAGGGCCCCATTCCTGATTGTTTTAGGTGTTTCCTGACTCCAACACATCAGATTCAAAATCCAAAACAGCTGGGATCGGATCATGTTTACCACTGCGTTACATCTAACTATTGAATCTGTCCGTGGTATTCGATCCCATTAATGCTGTATGTGCACCTACAGGTGCTTAACAATACAGGTCTCCATTTTCGTACTTTGTGCTTCGTAATGTGCTCCACACTTTCAATGGCAGACAGGTCTGGACTGCTGGCAGGCCATTCTAGTACTCACACCCTTTCACTCCGAAATCAAGCTGTTAAATCCGAGCTGACTTTGGCACCCCTATTCTGGTTACAAGTCAGTCACAGTACACGTACAGGCGAGACAAAGTAAGTATTTAGATTCACATTCACACCTATGGAAATGCTGAATCTTCAATTAAGCTAAGAAACATGTTTTCTGAATGTGGGAGGTAGCTCCGAAATGTACTTAGCACCCAGCACGTTAAAACGAATCACAGGGTGTAAAATAAATTGCACTGGCATGAAGCAAAATACATGTGTGAAAGTCTGGGATAAAGTTAGGAGATGTCAAACTGTCTACTTTTGCCAAGTTCTCACTGAAACAACACACATGGACAGTAATGACATTTAAACTGTAGAAGCCCCCCTCCATTCCTTGTGTACTTTCATCTGTTGCAGGTGAATCTTCCGAGAGCAGTGATCATTGCCATCTCGCTGGTGACTGGCTTGTATCTACTGGTGAATGTCAGCTACCTGACAGTACTGACACCGAAAGAACTCATATCATCCAATGCAGTGGCCGTCACGTGGGGGTGAGTGGCAGCAGCTGACAAAGATGTTTCGCCTCGAAAATCAATTAGTTTACTTCGTCTTGCTGATCTGATGAGGGAGGATTTGTGCTTCCTTTTGAAACCTTTCAACAAAGGACCAAAGCAGCACTGTGTACTTCATGCACACAAGGCATCACAAATTCATTCTCTTCGTTCTCCAAAGTGTATTTTGTGCCATCAAAAGACCAAGCGCCTCTGCAGGGGGAGCGAAACAGAAAATAATTGACAAGCGCTGGCTTAGTCCAACGTGATAGATAAACTTCATCTAGGGATGTGCGATAAACGTGGCAGCCAAAAACATAATTTTTAAAATTAATTTATGACTTAATAAATGTACATGAAAATAAATTAGCAAATTAATGACAGACCAAATATTAACTTTTTACTGCTGCAACTGGCATACGGATGGGAAGTATGCCTTTCAAATAAGAAAGCCATTAGTGCCTAAAGACCTTCACAAAGTACGGTACATTTAAATCCACTTGAGGTTCCGACCCTTTGTTTGCAAAACCTTGAGGAATTTATCGAGGGCGGAAATGGGTGGTGTGAAAGTTTCGCGCTGAACCTGAAACTTTTTGCCCCACAGGAACAAAGTGTTTGGATCCTGGGGGTGGATCATGTCATTAGCTGCAGCTTTGTCGGCTTTTGGGTCACTAAACGGGACATTCTTCAGCGGTGGTCGCGTGTGTTTTGTTGCTGCACGTGAAGGACACATGGTGAGAATTTTGTGGTCTTAAAAGTAAGAGATTTTCTTTTTTTTTCTCTCGAATGGAGAACATTTCAAAGATGTCTTAGCATTCTTGATTCTTGCTGTGAGGAGAGTAGACACACCTGCTTTAGCTTGCATTGTTTGTGCATTTCGGCATATTTCACAATGCAAGTTGTTTTTGTTTTTGTTTTTTTTTGTTTGTTTGTTTGTTTTTTGTACAACTCAATGCAAAAAGTCATTGTGCTTGGCAAGACTGAGACAACATTGGCGAAACACATCCCAGAGCCAGCAAAGTCCAAAATAAAAGCATGGTAGTTAAAAAACAGCTACACCACAAGATCCTGAGTTAATTGCATGACTGAGAACAATGATCAAATTTTGTTGACATCCACCACAAGCTCAAACTTAACCATGCACCCGACAAGGGGCAATCAAAATTAGCAACAAACGATTGCCACGAACAATATTGTATTGTTACAAAGTAAGACTTCTGGTCCAGAAATGCTGGCTAACTTTATTAATTACAGTTTAATGGCACCCGCATCTTAACAAGTCAGTTGATGGTGGAAATTCACACATAATTAGCCAGTCCTGCAATGATAATGTTGACTGACTTGTCAGTTGCTCGTGGATAATAGCAGAGACATGCCCATTGGATCGTGAAATGGATAGCAAGGTGTTAGCTTGAAAGCTAGCCATTATGTTTGGCTAAATTACTAATTTCAAGAAAAGCCAACAAAACGTTTTCTACATAGCTGTTGGAAAATGGATTCCGCAAACCCAGTGATGGAGGTTTGATTCTCTGTCAGTCCTTTCAGAAGACGCTACTCCGCCACGAAGGAAGTTTGCCTTCAACCCGATTATTACAGCCAACAATGACAAATATGCAAAGCTTGACTAATGGCAAAAGGCGCTTTGTTGGAGAGTCTTGCCAACCAGTATAACCGCCGGCAATGCAGTGTGGGCAATCCGAAAAACTCGGAGCAGTCGATAGAAGCCATGAAAAAGTCAGTTGTCTATTACGTGTCCTCTGCAAATAATGTTGTTGCTCCGTTGCCCTGTGAGGGAATAACGTATTGTGTGTGGTTTCTAGCCGGATATTCTGTCCATGGCTCACGTGCACAGACTGACTCCATCTCCAGCACTCATTTTCACCACTGTTGTCTCCTTGCTGGTGCTCATCCCCGGAGACTTTCAGAGTATTGTCAATTTCTTCAGGTGAACGCAGGCTCAGAATTGAATCCCTTGAAAACAAGCACATGGTATCTTTTTGTGTTTACCCAAAATCCATCTTTCTTTTCTTTGCAAGTTTCACTGCCTGGTTTTTCTATGCCATCACATTGGCTGGCCTCATCTACCTCAAGATTAAAAAGCCAGAGCTCCCAAGGCCATACAAGGTCGGTGCCACTCCTGGACGCGAGATCTTCCAATTCCAATAAAGTTGGAATGTTGTGCAAAGCATAAACAAAAAACAGAAGACAGTAATTTGCAAATCCTTTTCAACTTATATTCAACTAAATATGACACAAATAGATGATATTGAATGTTCAAACTGATGAATGTTAGTCTTTTTTGGGGGCTATATGCTGTCATTTTGAATTGGATGCCTGCAACATGTTTCAAAAAAGCTGGGACAGGGGCAACAAAAGTCCGGGGAAGTTGAGGGGCAAAAAGACTGTTTGGAACATTTCACAGGTCAATATTTACGTTGAAGTACCAGAGTGGCTTGCCAGCAGTCCAGACCTGTGTCTCATTGAAAATGTGTGGTGCATTATGAAGTGCTTAAAATCAACAACGGAGACACCGGGCTACTGGTCAACTGAAGTTGCACATCAAGCAAGAATGGGGAAGAAATCCACCCTCAAAGCTTCAACAATTTGTGTCCTAAGATCCCAAACAGTTTCTGAGTGTTGCCAAAAGGAAAGGTGATGTAACACAGTGATAAAAATTCCCCGTTCCAGCTTTTTTGGAACGTGTTGTCTTGTCTTTGGTGTGTATTCAATTAAATAGGCAGAAAGGGGACTTTCAAATCATTGTATTGCTTTTATTTATACTTGACACAGCGTCCCAGCGTCATTGGAATTGGGGTTTGTAAAATAAAACCATATACAACAAAAAACACAAATGGATGTCTCTCAGCATCTGTGCTCTTTTCCTTTTTTTCCTTCAGGTTCCCATCATACTGCCCATACTGGTTCTCATCGCAGCAGTATTTCTCGTGCTGGCCCCCATCATTGACGATCCTCAGATCGAATACCTCTATGTGACTTTATTTATCTTCAGTGGGGTCCTCATCTACATCCCTTTCATTCATTACAAGCTCTGCCCAAGCCTGTTAACCAAGTTGACCATATTCCTACAGCTGTTTTTACAGGTCGCCCCAGCAGAGAAAAACCTGTGATGCGGGCCGAAAGACTGTTTGGTTTTGCTCATATGTGAAGGTGATAACATTACCTGATTTTGTCCCATTGTTTTCTTTGATTTTACACCAAAAAAAAGATCTGATTCGGCTGAGAAATAGAGAAGATGGCTGAATATTTTGATTCATGAATAGCATTTATTTTGACTTACAATTTTTTTGAACAGAATCACTTTTTGGATTTAGGGTTACGTAACTGTGGTTTTGTTAAAATAAAGTCATGAGTTTTGTGGTTCAGTTCTTGAAATTCGAATATCAAAGTTGTGTTCCCCTTATACCATCATTTTAGCTGATGTGGTAAATCTTCTGTACATATCCATTTACAAACATTTAAACTTTATTAAAGAACTGTCTAGCACCAAAGTGTCCCAATGAAAAAGCAGAACATCTCATTGTGTAAATTACACATGAATACCAAGTACTGTTCGACATGAAACAAGGAGGACAAGCTGTCTTAAATGGTGATACGGTTTTGAGCAGAAGCCTAAAGGTTTTGTGCTACCACTGATTGGTAAATGAAACTCTTCTGAGTTCCTGCTGCCCTTAGAAAGGCCCGGATTCCAACTACGGAAAAACTGCCCCAACCTATGATGCTACGACAACAGCCACGCTTCACTGTAGGCAAGGCATGGTCTTGTTTTGGTTGTGAGCAGTGTTCCATTTGCGCTAAACATTACTTTTGGAATTATGGCCGCAAAGTTTAACCTTAATTTTATTGGGCCGTAACACATTTTCAAACAGGGATGAGAGATTTTTCAGGTCTTTTTTTTCCCTCCACCACGACAGGAGATTTTTGTCACATAGACCACTAAACAGCCAGTACTTTCCTGAAACTCCTGCAGCTCCTCCAGTCCATCTGTTGACCTCTTGGCAGCTTCTCTGATCGGGTTGTCATTTTTTCAGATTTTATTTCTTTTTTTTGAAGCGGGTGGTTTGGGTGTCCCAGGGTCCGACATTAGCGGTAGCCCGACAGCCCTGGACCGCCTTGTAGCTTAGATGCTGGCCCGACCGGGCGGGTATAAATTTCATAAATACAATCAAAGGGTGGCACGGTGGGCAACTGGTTAGCACATTGGCATTACAGTGCAGGGGTGCAGGGTTCAATTCTGTCTCCAGCCTTCCTGTGTAGAGTTTGCATGTTCTCCCTCGCCTGCGTGGGTTTTCTCCAGGTACTCCGGTGTCCTCCCACATTCTAAAAACATGCATGGCAGGTTCATGGCACAATCTAATTTCAAATTTTGAATTACTTTAAATTTTGCTATATGCACAGAATTTAAAAAAAATATTTGAGATAAATGATGAAAAAATAAATTCATAATCACATTTTAATCAACCAAATTCATCGAAAACGAGCTAAATTAATGCAACAAATATTACAGGACTCTTGATAATGTCAATGCTCACTGGGCTGAATTAACAAACGTTGAGGGCATCTTGTAGCCATACTTTGCCCAACAATACTATACACTGTGTATATTCACAAGTTTTTTTATTTGTTTATTTTACTGTACAAATATTTACCAAACCAAACATGCACAGTGGCGCACAGTGAATGTCTCTTCATTTCCAGCAAAAATTTTGCACTCAACAAATATCAAATTGCCTTTGCTGAAAATTGAAGTGAAGAGATGAAAATCATTTTGGAGCATGATCTAAGAGGAATTCATATCTTTTACAACCTTTTTATGCTCTGCAGAATCACGCAGTTACATTCTGATAAAACATTTACAAGATGAGTGCAGTTTTATTGGAGTCAAAAGCTTAATGTTTTCCTCATCCTTTCCTGAGTTTTGTCCTTTGCTGCAAAACGGCACAGCTTCATAATTTGGAGTGTCGGCGTCAACACTATTTTTGTGCTCTCGGATCTCACCTATACGAGCCAGAAGCCATGAAAATGAAAAGGGAAATCGGTTTGATTGGTGGCGTGGCATTTATTTCGGGGACCATGATTGGATCCGGGATATTCATGTCACCACAGTTTGTGCTGGCCTACGCGGGAAGTCCCGGAGCGAGTTTGTTGATCTGGGCCCTCTGTGGAGTTGTGTCCATGTTTGCGGCCATGTCCTACACCGAACTTGGAACGCTTATTCCTGAATCCGGCGGCGAATTTATTTACATCCTCCGGATCTTTGGGCCTTTTCCTGCTTTCTTTGCAGCAATCACTTCCATCGTGGTTGTCAAGCCTTTTGGCGTTGCTGCAGTGGCACTCGGTATTGCAAAGTATGCAACTGCTCCCTTTTACGTTGGATGTGATCCCCCGCAGCTGTTGGTGAAGTGTGTTGCAGCTGCGGCCATACTGACCGTTGCCATCATCAACGTCATGAACGTACGGATTGCTGTCAGAATCCAAGTTGTCTTCCTGGTGGTCAAGGTCTTAACATTGATGATTATTGTCATCGGAGGAATTGTGGCACTCACACAGAGCCAGCGAGTCCTTGTGCAAAACTTGAATGTTGACGATGCATTTAAGGGCACTCGGTACTCCTTTAGCACTCTTGGAATGGCTTTTTATCAAGGATTCTGGTCATATTCTGGCTGGTCCTATCTAAACAGGGTCATTGAGGAGCTGAAGAAACCCCAGGTAAGACTGTTAAAAAAATGTGGATTTTTCATCAGTCATTGTGTTCTTGTGAATTCAAGCACTGAACAAATGTGATATTGTGAATTACCACATGAAAGTTCCATTGAACAAAAGATAAACCCCTAACTGCAGTCTTTTTCTTTTTTGATGATATACATATACAGTGTATGTATGTATATATATATATATATGTGTGTGTGACGGGGGTCAAAACTGTGACGGTGTTGAGCTCCACGTCGCTGCCGCCTCAATAAGACCAGACACTGGGATGTGGCTTTTTCTCTCTTTTATTACTGCAACACAGTATGGCGGGAGGAATTGGTGAAGTCGCGGGGATTTTCGGGCTCAGAAATAACCTCAACTCAACTCAACTCAACTGTATTTATAGAGCACTTTCAAACAGCCATCGCTGCATACAAAGTGCTGTACATGGAGCAATTTAACACATACAACAAACAGTAAAGCAAATCGGTAATAAAGACGGGAGAAAGCACCGAACAGCAAAACCAAGAACAAATCTAAGTCATGCTGAGTCAAATGCCAAAGAATACAAGTGAGTTTTGAGGCGGGTTTTGAAGATGGGCAGCGAGGAGGCTTGCCGAATGTTCAGTGGGATGTCATTCCAGAGAGAGGGACCAGCAACAGAAAAGGCTCGATCCCCTCTGAGCCTCCGTTTAGTTCTT